CAGGGGGGAGTAGAAATACTCCTAGTCGCTTCATGCTACAGAAACCGGGATAAGCTCCGGCCTGATGGGCCACTTGGCTCGTATGCAGACTTTACCTCTGACATTGCAATACACTCCACCAGGTCGAACAGCTGATCAAAGAAGCTGGATATGAATACATGTGGAATGAACATCTTGGCTATGTCCTCACATGTCCATCAAATCTTGGCACCGGCCTCCGGGGAGGAGTGCATGTTAAAATCCCACTACTGAGCAAGGACGAAGAGAGACTGGACAGCATTCTAAAGAAACTGCGCCTGCAGAAGCGTGGCACAGGAGGGGTGGACACGGCATCCGTGGGTGGAACTTATGACATCTCCAACGCTGATAGGCTGGGATTTTCGGAGGTAGAGCAAGTCCAGGGAGTGATTGACGGTGTCCAATTAATGATTGAGATGGAGAAAAAGCTGGAGAATGGAGAATCCATTGATGACTTGATTCCCAAGTAAATCAACAAGACAGGAAATCTCTGAACATTTGCTCTCTGATCTCTCAAACTGATGTAACTTTATACCTTATTCGAGAAATCCAGTATTAACAAGTCAGCATCATAGCGGAATTTCGTCTGAACGTTTACATTGCAAAAAGGTCATTAAACACATTAATGCTAGTTTAAGTTGCATCATGCACTTTTATTTTGTTATCGTCATAATTTAATTAGCGCCTTTCATCCAATTAGCACCACCTATCTAATAGACGCGTCTAGTTGTTGAATACGTTCTTACTACGCGCTTCTACTGTAAAAAGCGCCCGCACACCAACAAGTGCTCCGATTACATAAGAGCCCCCATGATCAATAAGCGTCCTTATTATATGGCTAGCTCCGTGAGCGGGCAAGATGAAGCAAATCCTGCGCTGTGATTGGCTACCCGAGCGGGCAAGATGGAGCTATCTTGCCCGCTCGGGACTACCCGCCGTGTCCCGCACGAAACATTTCCCCGAAAAGCCATATAATAAATCCTTTATTGACCAAGCTTGTTCGATCAAGATGGCTGGGTATTGGCCTCGTTCTTTTTTTGCGAGTTTATGGACCTCGACTCCGTCTCGGTCCATAAACACGCAAAAAAAGAACTTGGCCAATATCCAGCCATCTTGACCTCACACTTGGTCAATAACCCATACCTATTCTGTATCAATAGGCCCTGTTGATATTCTCGGTATTAGACTAGGACTAGCTTGCAATGGAGGCTCATGCGTGAGAATACATTTGCATAAGAACAGACTTCCCGCATTAGCCTCAGTTGCAAGCTAGTTACAGCCCAATACCGACAATACGAAGATATCCTAATAACGCTATATCAGAGAACATTAAGACTATCGGTAGTTCATCTTCCTTCTAAGACCTAACCAGAGCGCATTTCTTCCCGTTTGCCTTGTGCTTACTGCTCTAATCTTAACTTTCACTCAGCGCAGTACTCTTCTAAGTGTTTCTACTGTTATTTCCAAGCAGGGCACAATTTGTTCACAGGAAAGATCTCCTTTTTGTTTTACATGAGATGTTTATGTAAAAGGAAAAATGATAATAAACGCCCGCCTCTAATAAGAGCCCTGTCTTCAATAAGCGACTGCCCTGCAAAATAGAGCAAGCGTCCAGTTAATTCGGTTACATGTTTAGCAATGAGAAGTATATAGTATTGATGTTCAAGAGTTAATTTACATGATATTAACATGTTGCTGCCATCATGCAGGACCATGCAGTGCGGACACAATAGTAATGTCAGGAGGTAGGGTGGACTGAGTTTTCGAGATTTTGCAACTAAACGCTTTGTTGTGATATTTATATGACATTCTAGCTAGCAAAGATTTCGCTCAGCAGTTGAGCAATTATTGCAGCTTGGAAAGCACTAGAAACTCGTTATGTTTCTCATTCCTTCTTCGGCCGCTCTCCAAAACTAGTTCAGATCTATACTTCTTTCAAGAATTCCAGACTTTCTACGAGTCCTGTAAATGCTAAGTTCTTTTCGCATGTGATCGCGCTTCCGACTAGGAAATACTTCAGTGAGCACGAACAACAGCACCAGAACGAGTTTGGGGTGGATATTTTCATACACTCTCTGTATTTTTTCTCCTGTAATCATTTTTACAATCATTTAACGTGATTAACCAAATATTAAAAGAGGCTAGTCTTCTTAACGAAGGACTAGGGACAAGCTCTACGCGAGCCAGGATATAAGTAAGGTAAGTTTTCCAGCGTGAGTCATGAAGTAAAACAAAAACTATATAGACTGTTAAAAGCCAATTTTTGAATCAAATTTACAAACGCCCAAGGTGACATACACCCAAGACCTAATTTACAATTGAAAACTAAGCCACTAATTGCTTATTTGTCGTTAAGGAAGTAAAACCCATTCCATCTGATTCCGCTTAAACTCTTCCCGTTAAAATCCTGAGGTGCGATGACACATCTCTTAAGTTGTTACCCCTGGGAGACCCCAAATCTCCTTTGGATTGGCCAGAAAACTTCTAAAATACCGGTAATTTATATATCACGTAACCTTGTAAAGAAGACTAATAGACCGGTTTCCAGATGATCCCTTCGACCGCTTCGAACGAGTCAAGATTATGGCTACAGTCTATCTACAATCGCTGGATGGTGGTTTCCATATAAGCGCAGCGACCGCTGGCCTTTTTTCCAGCGATCGTAGTCTTAAAGAAAACTTTGCTCAGAAGATTAAGGAAATACTTTAAGCAAAGGCATAATTCTACTGCGTTCCACAGCATTCTAGTTTCACGTCACTACTTATCATTCACACTAACACTGATCGAAATGTTACTTGTGACAAATGAATCAACGAACGATGTTTAATGTTTTAATGAGAAACTCATTTCTTAGCGGCATCTGTGGTAACATCCACAATCATTAAATCCTGACCATTACTGGAAGTTCGATATCAATCAATGAGTGTTTCACATTTTCAAATGACACGCAAAGTGTCCTGCAACAAATATTCCATATTTCTTCACAAAAGGGGTTTACAGCAAAGATACAGCGAAGTACCATTTCGGTACTTGTATTGCTAATAAATTTAACGGAAAAATGTTCTGTTTTTGAAAAGTGAATGTTACCATTATGCAAATATTTCTTTCTTTGGTAATTGGTGTTTTGTAATCGTACCACTGATACATCGAACGAGACATACTTCTATTTGCAATTTTCAGTACACGTCTAGACAGCAACAAAAATGGTCAGACATTGGATCGCTTGTGTTTTACACGAATGCGTTTTCCTATTATGTCCGAGTGTTCTTCATAAGGTGACAGTTAAAATTGCTTAGAGAAAGTAAGACTAGTTTTTCAAATACAGATTGTTCCGGCGGTATAAAATTACCGAAGTAAATCAGTTAATCTGTCTACGGGAAAATATACGTTCTACACTGAGTTTAGAGTTAAGAGAAGAATAAGATGCAATGGAGGCCGAGTTAGTACGTAAGATATTTATGTTTTAGTCACTTTGTTGCATAGAAATCTGAACGTATCAAACGTGATTTTAAAGTAATAGATATCGTGGCCATATATTTTTTACGTTGATATTCTATATATGTTTCTGCTAGCCAACCACCGGGGAATGATATCCCTAATAGTGCTCGTGGGCATTACGAGGGAAATCCATTTGGATTTTATTTTCGGCTTTATCACACTGATATCAACTCTTAATAAGTAACGTGTTATTTCAGTTTTAAACAAGAAAATCCATTGAAAACCGCAACTCAAAAGTGAAACCTATCTCGGCAAAATTTTGGAGCAAATCTGGATTAAACATGAAGACTCTCGAGCAAATTGCGCGATCACACTGCGTCCCAACCTTGCAAGAACGATCCTGTTCAGACTGCAGTGATCACTGATTATAAATAACGGGCCCGAAATCATGCTCTGAGGTTCTCCTTAATTCTTTAGGCCTTTATCGAAGAAGGACTGTTCCGAGAAAAATCTCATTCCAGTTGTTTCACCTATTCAAAGTTCTCTTAAAATCTCTAACACTAAATCGTACCTCATCAGCTTTTGTCAGCACTTTCAGCCGCTGAATCAGGCTGGTTAAGTCTCGCCATGGGTATTTTGGTTCATGGCGACTCGCATTATATCAAGACAGTAGGCAAGGTTTCCAGATTGGCTAACTACTAACCCGTGTTACAGCTTCCAAGCCCGAAAGAAAAAAAATTGAGATTTCCTCTCTCTGGGAGGGCAGGAGGTAGCACAGGGAGTACAATAAGGTTTCAGCAACACTAGACATCTAGTAAATTCGAAGTGTGCTGGTAGCATGTTATTGAGGACTGAGTGCGCAGATGTTGAATAAGATCTTCAGTAGGCAGAGATACATACAACAAGGTCTTTTATTTAGTCTTTCCTCGGTCCACGTCATTAGCAATAATTATTGACAGTGGTGTCATTCTCTTAATTCAAGTAGACAGAATCTTTTCCGTCAATCCGTCAATTTCATGTACCTAATTTACTATAGACATAATTACAATCGTTATTATACTATGTTCATGCTACATTGTCATCCCCATTTCTAATCCTACATATCGTCCATTTTATGTGTATTGCTTGTATACTTTTCAATAATTCTGCTGTAGCGGACTTCCTATTATAGCAGGTGTCCCAGCGGAGGGTAATTAATATGACAAAAGTGAATCTTTTATCATGTTAATTTGATGCTAAAGTCAAAAGAAAATAAACAATACGACGGCAGGCTGTTGTGCTGTTTCGCCGTCGGAATTACCTTAATGATATATATTTTGGAATGGTTTCAGTAACTATTCTGATTGTTTTTGTTATCCCATCAATACCTCAAGGTAAGGCTTGTTTTTATCAGTTTATGTTTATTCTAATTCCCAAGCTTCTCCAGACTGTTATTGGCTTTAAAATCATAATTGTCTTCAGATTTCAGTTTCATTCTATTTTGCTTTTATTAACGGGCTCAAAAAATTGTGGTGCTAAGTGTCATCATGATTATTATAAGGAGAGAAAAGTCCGCTACAAAGCAAAACAAAATTTAACTTGAAGAATGATTAAACATCAATTTCAATCATGCCATATTTAATATATTCGGTACAAAGAGCTTGGTGAGATTTCCTTCATTCTTTAACACCCAAGGGAAAAATTCACCGCTGAAAGGAGTGAAATTTCCAAAGCGTTTAATTCTCCTGGTTATTTTCCCTTTTTCGTGTAATGATGTGAGTGATGTGCATTGCAATGAGTTACAGAAAAGAATAGCCATCTGCTTTTCCAAAACCACTATAATTACTGCTCTTATTGCTTAAACGGCGCACTGTTCAGAATCATCATTTTCGCTTTTCAACTGAATCAATGTGCTGATAAAATACAAAACTGTTCATCTGCACTTGCCCAGGATGATCAAACTGATTGTTGCCTGTAAGGTAAGTATTTAAACAGAGTGATATGACATTTTCTCCGGACATTTTCCTTTCCTTGTTCGTGCCAGTGGTGGTATAAATATCATCAAATATTCATTATCGAAAAGCTAATCTAATACACTTATCCCGACGTGGAGGCGTCGTGGACTATCATTCAATCAATCAATCAATCAATCAATCAATCAATCAATCAATCAATCAATCAATCAATCACTCATTTTATTTAAAAACTCGGTTAAAATCTTCAGGACTAGTGGTTAGGGCACTGGATTTGTAATCCGGAGGTTTCTCCTCCCTGCTACTGGATGGATTTGTGTGGTGGTCCCAAATCTCAGCCCTTCCGCGCTTTGTAAATAACCAATTGGTCAGCCTCCCGCCAGTTGGGATTTTTAAAAGGTTTCTGTTTAATTTACAATATTTGTTTGCTTATTTCAGTGTCCTCAATTAGTACAGTCGGGATGAGCTAAATACTTCGACACTTAAATAAAGCGATTTTTTTTTATCGCCAAGAACATATTGCTTTACACTTGTATGGATTTTCAAGACATAGCGAATCCTTATCATTTTAACAGGTCACGTGTAACTAGCTTTGAGAACGTTCCGTCATGTCTGAACCAGATAAGGTTGCCATAGCAACGGTACTGTCCGCACTCATCGCTGTAGATGTCGTGGGGAACTCTCTTGTTTGTGTGATTATTAAGAAAAATCGAGATTTGAGGTATGTTAAGAAACATGTTGTCAAATGTCAAACGTGGAATGTTTATAGTGGTCAGGTGCGCTTAGCTACACCTAGATATAATTCTCAGGCATGCTAATTCAATCATAAATACAATCTCGGTTAAAGTGTGGGATAAAAATACATGTCTGGCATTAAAATACATTTATGAAATAAACTGATGTTCATTCTGCAAAGTTATTAAGCATTCATGGGAGATGTTTCACATCAAAGAAGATCAAAAGATTTCTTGAAAGATAAAGGCAGAAAATTTCAGCTTATTGGTTGCCCATTACCATTGCCTGTAAATTTATCATACGTTTTTCTGCAATTCCATAGGGTTCCCATTAATTATCTACTTGTGAATCTGGCTGTAGCAGACATCCTTTTTGCAGCGTTTATTGCACCATCCGTTATTCTGAGACTTACATTCAATCACCCAGGAGGGATGACTGGTACAGTGTTATGCAAATTACTAACGGGTGGTAATGTGGCATGGGTCGGAGGTATCGCCTCAGTCGTTACCCTGGTTACAATCGCTATTGAACGATACTATGCCGTAATGTACCCTCTTGGAAACAAATGGAAACTTACCAAGCGAAAACTGAAGGTCAGTCTCATTGGTAATAAAGAATGTTTAAATTTTAGAAATCTTCATGTTATAACACAGGTCAGGTAATTTTGGTTTTTGATTAGATAAGAGTACATTGAGTAGTTGCAGTTGCAATAGATCTGGAAAACAGAAAGCAATTTTAGTAGTATACCTCCGATGAATAGGTTAATTTATTCATGATTTAATTTGCCTTGAGTCAATGACATAAGGATGGTAGAACTGGTTTAATGAGACTTCGTTCATGATGGCTCAGTAGGAATTAGATAGGACTAGCGCGCGCGTGCTATGTTGCAAATTGTAATGAACGATTCGCGCCAGCTCACTGTGATAAATATAATGTTCGATAATGTGAGGTCAGTTCTGGATAGTAAGCTAAAATTTAGTACTCCTACCTTTTTTCCCGCCCTCTCTCCCTGAACGTTTTGTGTTACGAATAGCTGTTATTTTTTTAAGGTATTTGTTGTTGTAACAAAATTAGCCATAGTTAACGTTTTTTTTCGCTTTGGGTGTTTGTATAGCTTAGGTCAGAAAAAAAACAATAACAAACTGAAATGATTTAGATCTACATGTCGACTTTCATGGACTCCGAGTAAGCAATTTAATTAGAAGTGATTAGCGTTTGGTTACTCAGAACGTTTAAAATGAACAATATTTGCCGAGTACAATGTGTAATTCTTAATTACCTCATGAATCTAAACTGACGACCACAAATTGAGTAGTTCTCAATTACTCAGAGTATTCTAACGAGCAGTGTTCGAGTATTTCGCCGTAGTAACTTTTTAATGGTCAAAGCGATTGCAATTACTTGAGCAAGTAGTATTTCAGTATTTCAAATTGAGTAGCTATCCATTACTCAGGGTACTTTTAATGGGCAGTATTCAAATATATCGAGTAACTTCTCTGTTTCTCGAAGCGATTTGGGAAATGTCTTGAAGACATTGTTTGAAGATATTGAGTGATAACTAATTACTCTGTATCGAGTATTGAAAAGTTACTCAATAAACTTTGTCATTTATTCACCTGAAAATCTTTGTTGGTATTCCTTTGAATAATCGCCCATGCATGCAGCGGAATGTTTTCTGTTGCCTAAAAATTATCTCCTTAGAACCAGTTTGACCCATTCCTGGTAAGTTGTGTCGCCATTTTGAAAAATTAAATCCGAAACCGGTCTCAAAACCAGTCTGACCGGTTTAACAGTGCTCCCTGATTGGTTCTCAGCCAAGCCTTTGTTCTTTCTCCATATAAGCGCGACATCACCCGTATGGTTGGGCGATCAGTTAACTCCACTACAAAACTCGTTTACTATTCAATAATACAAATCTTAAAACATTAACACATGCAAGTATAATTTATTTGTTTGTCCAAACTCCCCCATATTTACCTACACGATCTGCGTCTCATTAAACCAGTTCTACCATCCTTATGTCATTAAATCAAGGTAAATGAATTCATGAATAAATTGATCTATTCATCAGAGGTACACTACTAAGTTTTCTACTTGAACGCTGACAAATTTCTACCTGTGGCTGTTTGCTTTGATCACCGAAAAGTATTCAGCAACGTCAGACAGCACGACGAAAGGCTTCACAGGCCACACTGTACTCAGACCAGACATGGGGGGCCTGGTTCAATCGATTTACAAAACATGGCACTGGTTTTCAACAACATAATGACGGTCCATGCTCTGTTGAGGGGCGACTGGGTTTAAGCATAAGTTAATAAACTCCTGGTTGATTGCAGTGAGTTTGATCCTGTGGATTTGCCATATGTTACAAAATTCTTTTTAGCTTCATGTTTGTGTTTATGCGTTGTTGAAATATTTTTGAGAGGATTTTACAATTAAAATTTCCACCTTGTTGCAATTTCCCACAACGCCAAAGTAATTTTATGGGATTTTAATCTACACCGTGTGTTAACTCCATTTCCCTGATGACCAGGTATCACATGAATAAGCTACTCAGTGGGATGAGATTTCCACGTTATGATTGCAGGTGATCATTCCTGTTACCTGGATCTTCTCCATGACATTTTATTTGCCGTTCTTCCTGGTGGCAGAATTTGATTCCAAGGTAGGCTTCTGCGCATGGAAATGGCCAGACAAGTGGATGCGTAAAGCTTACAGTGTGCTATGGCTGGTGTTTGTTGTTCTCCCTTTAGTACTGATGGTCAGGCTTTACTCCAGAGTTGTGTATACTTTGTGGTTCAAGCGTTCCGATGACAATCAACTCACTTTCCGACAAAGAGTAAGTGTTTACGAACACATTCTTTACCAGGCAGAGGCTAAGGACGTTCCCGCGAAAATTTTCCGGTCGATAGATTTTTTTAAATTTTTACTACAGTCAGATAATGAGTTACTTGTGTCAGAAATGCAAAAAAAAAAAAAAAAAATTGGGGGTCACCGACTTTGTTTCAGAGACAAAGCGTGTGGAAAACTACCCTGATTTGGAGAAATTGGCGCGCCTAATTCAGCATGGTGTACGGGGGTTAATAGTTTAAACTATCGAAGGTGAGTTAACGGAAGCAAACGATCTTAGTCATATATTTGTAGAAGTGGATCTGTTGCGTAAATAATTCCAAATGTTACCAACGTTTTCCCAAAACTTAACCCTTTAAGAGGCATTTGAAACCGTCGCACAGATAAACGAAGAGCTAAAAAGAAGCGATTCGAAGGTGCATTTTGCAAAAAATTCAAACATCTAGTCGATAGATTTTCTTCATTTTTTCGCTAAACGTAGAAAATCGGTAGAGAAAATGATCCATTAAAAGAAAAATAGGGGTCACCGAACGTCCAAGATCGTTAAATCCAATCAAAGCTGTAGCAATGGCCATCTGCCCTATCATTGTTTGTTGTACTACTTGGCGCGCGAGCTCATGCATGACGTGGCGTGCAGTAAGGATGCGCAGAAACAATCCACCGTAGGAAAAAACGATGGCGGCTGTACATTTTACCACAATACCTTGCAAACCTAACACAGCCTATAAGGCACAAAGAAAGCCAGATTTTTGCAATATTTGTCCCTGTACTAAGGACATTGTTTAGCCTAGGTTTGAAGATTTTGTAACTCTTCTGTACGATTTTATGAACGTTGTTAAGGTTTTCGTGCGCTAAGAACCATGGGTAAATGTACCAGCCGCCATTTTTTTTTCTTACGGAGGATTAGCACGAACGTCCTAAAATACATGTATTTAACAAATTGACGTCAGTTTTTCGTGCGTCTATCTTGTTGTTGACAATGAATTTCGTTATAACATCCTCAAAGTAGTCTATGGATCCACTCGGCTTTCGCCTCGTGGACCCACAGCTACTTTTGACGAAATTCACGATCAATACGCAGGACAGACGCGTGAAAAACTGACGCCAATTTGTTTTTTTTTTTTACAATAACAAATTGTCCATTCTCGCTCATAAACGCATTGCATAAATTATAAATTCATGTGTCTTCCGCTTATTGGCAAAGAAAATTAGCCAATGAGAGCTCGCGAATTTCAGCAGTTATCGTAAAATAAAAATTGCGTCTGTTATTACACAGGGTGTCATCAGGCTGCGGAAGCGAGTCACTCTGATGGTTGTAACTGTCAGTGCCATATTTGGTGTGTGTTGGGGTGCAGATTCCACTGTGTACATCTTAAGAACCTTTGCACCTTACAACATCGGTCCCATGGCTGTAGCCGTCACACAGATTATGGTCTTGTTAAATTCTGCCGCCAACCCTTTTGTATATGCCCTGTTGAACCAACGATTCAGAGAGAAGATCAAAGCAGTTGTATGCTGCACTGATCCCTTGGAGTCTAGGCTTCAAGCTAGGAGAGGGACTCAAAGCATAGAGCTTCCTGTCATGTACAAAACCACCCACCCGACCCTGTGTTGCAGGGAGTAGTACATTCCTTGTAGTGTCTGTATAGTCGAAGACTGCTAGCAGTCGGTTTGTTCCGTTAGGGTCAGACGAGTGAACACGAACGTATAAGAGTGGTATGGAAGAAAAGGGGCTGGGGCGAGACGAAAAACTCTCATAATCCCCGCCTCGTTTCGAGAGAAAAACAGCCTATCAGCTGTTAAGTAGAGTCATGCGCTCCCAGCGTAACTCTCCCTCGTTAGTATTCTAGGTGAAAAGAAAAATAAGAGAAGAAGAGCCAACTTTCGAAATATCAAAATTGAGCGTATTATCGGAGCCAATAGGGACGCAAACAAAGGTAAAGCAAATAAGGACCCAGGTCCGAGTATCGGGCCCACAGAGGTAATCCATGTACTGGCTCCACAAAAGTGGTCCGTGGAGCATGGTCCTTGTTTTCTTTACTTCCTTTCTAATGTTTGCTTTCCAAGACCTCTCCATCAAGTTGAATTTTAATTTATCGAAAGTAACTAAAGGATTATCCCTTTTAAAAAATAACTGCAAGGCAGTAGCGTTCGAGCGCTTGACCATTCCCCAAGGGAAACCTATTATCTTGTTGTTTTATTTATTTTCATTATAATACCATCTTACCAGAAGAAGTACTTCTGGTGTTACTAGTTTGGCATTGATGTCATACATATTGTTTTAGTGGCCAATCTCTCTATAATTCATTTTGTTGTTAACTAAAAGCCTGATGGTTTCTAGAGGTCACCTCGCCTCACATTAAAACATTTATAAATACTGTACATTAAGTAAAAAGGCAAAATAAACAGAACGAAAATTTGATGAATGATATAGCTAAGAGACGTGCCTGCAGTGAACCATGGTATTTCTATTCATCATCTTGGACTGGATGTTTGTTTTGATGAATGTATCTTATTCTATCATTATTCCCTGCAGGTGCGTCTCATAGAGAGAATTGGCCATATACGGGTGAAGCACCCGTTAGTCAAGGCCTCTCAGGGGCGGGGTTAGTGGAGGGCGGCTTATATTACAATAGCCCTTATGTGTGATGACATCAGACTAGCAAAAATCACCACCAAGCCTCGGCTTGATAATGCAAAATGTAAATTTTATCATGAACCAATTCCCAAAGCAGTAAGGATAAAAAGAATTTTGCTTATCCTCTGCATGCCTCGTGGCACATGGGGCCTTTACAGAGTTCTTCCACTGTTCTCTGTCTGCTGCATTCGTCTTGGTTTCCTCCCATGATATCCACCCTGCCTCTTTACATTCCTTTTCAACTGTTCGTCGCCATGTTGTCTTGAGCTTTTCTCTTTTCCTTTTCCCCTCTGGGGCCCAGCTTATTGCAATGTTACAATCATTATTGCGATCTTCCCACAGGATGTGACCAATCATATTCCCTCTACGATATTTCACCTCCACCCTCAGCGGTTTCATACTCGCTCTTTCCAACAGCTCCTTAGTACTGACATGATCTTGCCATTTAATTCGCAGGATCTTTCGTAGGCACTTATTGTGGAATACATCTATAGCTTTGTGATCTCCTTTGTTCATTTTCCACGTCTCGCATGCATATAACAATACCGGCACCAACAGTGTCTTATACAATCTCAACTTTGTTTTCCTTGAGATGCTATTGGAACGCCACATGTTCTTCAATCTGATGAATTCACCTATTGCTTTGGATTGACTGTTTTTTAGGTCTTTCATACCAGCTTCTTCCTTACACACTTTCGCTTCCAAGTGTGTAAGTTCATCAACGTCCTCAATATCTATTTCATTGACTACAATCTTGTCTTGGTTTCTCGCGTTAATCCTCATCACTTTCGGCTTTCCTGCACTGACCTTGAGCTCCACTCGTCTGGCTTCTTCTTCCAGCCTTGTTGTTTTATCCTGAATCCGCTGTTTGGTAGAGGAAATTAGAGCTATGTCATCCACAAAGACCAAATCATCAAGTTTGGATGTCACGAAACCTCCATGTAATGCCGTTCTTACCATTTCCAACTGTTCTTCTCAATTACCGAATCCATTATGATCGAGAACAAGAATCCAGACTTATTGCATCCTTGCTTGACGCCAGTTTTTATGTCAAAACAGTCGCCAATCTCCCCACCATCCACCACTGCACACTTGAAGCCATAAAACACTTTACCATTTTATCTATTTACTCCGGAATTCCATACCTCCCCATAATCTCCCATAAACTTTCTCTGTGGATGGAATTGAAAGCTTTTTCGAAAATCTATGAAGTTCAAATACAGGGTAGCTTGCCACTCGTTTGCCTGTTCAATGATATTTCGTAGAGTGAAAACCTGGTCTGTTGTTCCCTTGTCTTTCCTATAACCGGCTTGTTCCTTCCTTAATCGTATGTCAACACCCTTTCTTATTCGATCTATAATAATCCTGCCCAGTATTTTCGCTACTACAGACAGCAACGTTATCCCTCTCGAGTTCTTGCATTCCTTAGGATTACCTTTCTTTGACAGTTTAACAATAAGTCCCTGTTTCTAAGCCTCAGGAATCCCTTCATGGTTCCATATTTTTTATCATGAATTGATGTATTTTCTCTGCTGAAAATTCTACGTTCGCTTTCAACAACTCAGCTGTAGTAGAGTCAATCTCTGGAGCATTGCCATTTTTAAGTCCCTATATGGCTTCCTTAACTTCACTTAACGTTGGCTCATTGACTGCAATCGCCTCAATTATTTCACTGAACTCGAATCCACAGTCTTCTTCACTAGTTGTCGGGTTTTCTGGGTCTTCTCTATTAAGCACTTCTTTCAAGTGCTCTGTCCATCTTGACTGCACTTTATCTTTTCCACTTAGGAGGTTTCCACTCTTGTCTAAAACACTGCTGTGCTTTGCCTTGATCTTTCATTGCACAGTGTCTTAGTGAACCCATAAAGTGCCTTCATGTGCTGGTTTCTTGCGTCCTTCTCTGCCTCACCTGTAATATTGTTATGCTCCTCTTCACTTCCTTATCCTTTCTTACGTATTCTGCCCTTAGCTGTCTCTTAACCCTTTCTGACCGAGTACTCAAGATCTTCTTATTAACGCCCTCTCTTTAATCTATGAGGTCCCATGACTCCTTGCTGATTCATGGCTTTGTCTTTTTTGGAGGTCTTCCCAATACTATTTCTGCTACCTTTATGTATGCCTTCTTCATCGCCCGAAACTCTCTCTCCACTTCTTCAACTTCTGGTTCTTGTTCTTCATTCTCTAGGGCCTGATACCTATTACGTAGTTTTATGTGAAACGTCTTTAGCACCTACTCATTTTCCAATTTAACCGTGCTATACTTCACTCTACGTTCAACCTTTTCTTTCGGTACCTCTGTCAACCTGAGCTTAATTTTTGTACACACAAGATAATGATCACTTCCAATATCTGAAGACCTCTTAACTCTTGTGTCATTCACTGAATTCCTAAACCGCTTTTTAATGAGGATATGATCGATCTGATTCCTGGTCTTTCTTTCGGGCGACACCCATGTTGCTTTGTGGATGGTCTTGCGATGGAACAGTGTTTCTGTAATAACTTGCTCATTCAGATCGCACATTTCACAAAGCCTTACTTGGTTATCGTTCCTTAACCCCAGTTCGTGTTTTCCCATGACTCTTTCATAGTCCCTGTTTTCGTACAAAACCTTAGCATTCATGTCCCAGTAACTATGATCATATCATGAGTATTTACGCCATCTATCAAATCTTGCAATCTTGTGTAGAACTCGTCTATTTCCTGTTCGTCTGCATCCTCCGTTGGTGCGTATACATGAATGACTGTAAGCTTTATGTTTTTGGAATAGTACCTAGCTTGAATTATTCTTTCGCTGATAGGGTTCCACCCTATCAGGGCTCTAATTTTACCTTCTGACATCAATATACCTACTCCTAATCGGTGGCTGTCATCATCTCTTCCAGAGTAAATTATGGTGTCTCCTTCTGCAAGTTACACTTTTCTTTTGCCGGTCCAGTGCGTTTCACTGATGCCCACGATGTCTATACCATTCCTCTTCATCTCTCACGCTACCTGTGCGATGTTGCCACTTCTGTAAATCGTTCGTACATTCCAGTTACCAATCTTCAGCGTGTATTTAGGGTACATCAGTGGCCTAATCGACCCGGGGGTGTCCTGTTGGATTTGACTCCCGTGCGTCATTGAATCCCTCTTACGAGGTACGGTCACAGCGCCCCCTTGATACAGTGAATTTTCTCTGCTTCTGGTTTCTGTAATAATTTTTTTTTTACGGGAGAGGGTTATCAGCCCTCAGCCCAACTCCCAACCTGCAGGACCAGGGGATCTCTCTTTGTCTGGTTCCTACCCTTAGACCTGTTTGGCATGGTGGCCCTACCAGGAGTACGACTCCCTCCAACATAACTCTAGGGGTCACTGGAACACGCGAGCCACCCCACCACGACAAGGTGTTGATCCCAATTGAGGTGGAAAGACAAAAAGCCTACCCACATGAAAACAACACGAGGGCAACGAAAGTTTGAGAAAATGTCACGCAAACGAGGCTTGGTGGTGAATTTTGAGCATGTGAGGTAACTGCGCATAAGACCTATTGCTTAAATAAACTCAGGCGCGGATCCATACCAGTTTCCTCCGTTCTAAGGAAATCAGTCACATTTTCAGAATTACCCAGAAACCCCCTAAAAGGGGACTTTAGGAATAAAATAATCCAGAACATTTCCTGTTAAAGGGAGCATTTCCTGGACCTCTCTATGAGGCACTCACCATTTATCCTGGATCCATGCCTGAAACTGAACGAGAGAACGGAAGGCTAGAAATGACATTTAATATAGCCACTGAAAATTATAGGAAAAACTATTTTAAAAAATAGAAAATTCTTTTTTTCCTTCCGCTATCCTTTTAACAACAAAGTTTCGAGAAACGTTTGCCCCATTTGTAAGGCAATAAAAATCTTCAGTAACAAAACGACATTTAGTTATTAATGCATAGTGATCTCACTGTATTGCTGTACAGCAATTCCGTAAAGTTACACAAGGATGAAACGGCTACCATAATGACAGGAAAGTCTGGAATATGGTTGTGACCATCAATAGGTTCCTGAACTAGCTTTGATTAATAACGTTAAGTCTCCGTTTAGCTCCCTCTCCCCCTTTTTAAGCGCTCTTCCTCGCCTTAAATTGTTACTTTTTGAAGGATGGGACGACGGTTTTTCAAGCAATTACAACAACAACAACAAGAATAGGCCACTTCCGAGTTGCCTTTTGCCTGTGTCAAAAGGGGTCTTCGTGCGAAACCATTACGTGTGATATAGAAATGTGTTTTACCATGTTTATTTTCATGTAAAGAAACTCATCTTCGTATGAAAGGTTTTGCACGGAGACTCGTTTTGAAACAGAGGTACAAGGAAACTCGGAAATGGCCTATTGGAGCGAGAAATAAATCTTTTTAGCCAAGCACGAGGACGGTACTAAGACAATGCCCGCATGAAGTAACCCAGCGCAGCAAAGTGTGTACACAAAAAGGCCGATATTCTTCTAGTATGGTCAGGAGCAGGCTTGGTTAGTAACATTTATTTCACAACTGAGTATGTTTACAAAGTTTCCTACGATGACGGACTAGAACGACACTGTAAAGTTAACGTTAATTTTGAGGTTAATGTTTTCTCGTGTCTAACGTTTTCCGAAAGAACAGGGAAAAGAAAGTTGAAAGAAAATGGAAACAATAACTAGAAGAAAATATCTACAAGGAAACTCCAATAGCAGTGGAACAGAATTATTCGGACAGTGCACGGTTCAATCGTTGAAAAAAACTGGACCATCAAGACAGCAATCTGATTGGCCAATTTTAGTTAGTTGACCTCTGAACTAACTTAGGGGTGTAATTACAGGTTAACGCAATCAGCGATTCTCCCAACATTGATGTTAACTTGTTAATATACCACCACCTTCTCTATGAAGTCCCTTCCCTCCCTCCCCTCTGAAAGGCTCGAAAAGAAGTAGGTCTATCAGGTATATCATCACGAAGTGTAGGTCAAAAGAATCATTTCAAAACGACAACTGTATTTAGCGTAGTAAGGCCTTTATTTTTACTTTCAGGAATATCACTTACAAAGAATATTTCATAGAAATGAAGGATAACCAAAACATCTTTAAATCTACTGTACAAAACGTTATCAGAACAACTTAATGATGCCAATCAGTTGGTGTGACAAGGAAACCAATGCAACTTTGTTGGACAATTCCTTGTCGAAAACATCAGTAAATGTTCCATGAAATAAATAACTACAATTAATCAATACAATTAGTAACAGTAATTGGACCGATTGGAGTACAATTCAGGGGGTAATCGGGCCAGTAACTTGGACTAGCGCACAGCACCAGGCCGGCACGATTATTCTCTGAATTGTACCATGTCCAGTTATTAAGTAATCGTAGCAATAACAAATTTCGAGACCATTCAGAACTTTTTCTGGGTGAAAAAGTTAGTAGAGTTTTCCATAAGTTGTAAAAACTGTAGGGAGAATTAAGAGGCCATTAAAGCTCACGTTATCGACGTGCGAATGGCGTAGGTATCCAATTACAAAAAGATAAAATACCTGTGTTTGGACACCTCGTGATCGCGCATCGATTCCTTAACTATTAGGGGCGCGCACAACCAATCACGATCGCGAATTTTGCTATAGATACGACTACAGAAGTTAAAACAAGAATCACTGAAAGAGAGATTTCACATTATGCATAAACACATTTCTAAGGGGATTACATTGCTTACTCCCCTGGTTATTTATATCAAGATATAAACAAGACTTTAACCCTTTATTACAAACTAGAAAAATGAAGACAAAAACATTAAATCTACTCTCACGAGAATGTTTTTACAATAATCAGTCCTGCTACAAGTTGCAATTTGGTTGAAAGCATCGCATGGTAGGTTTATCAACAATGAAACCGTTAATTTATCTGCTGCTTCTTAGCAGAACTGCTCTCTACTTTGCCAACGTTCTTCGTTCTCTACAGCAAGGAAGGTTGCCAACGACCACAACAAGAAATTTAGAAACAGCACTGAACCCCCGACGAAACTTTGGCAACGCAGCTTTGCGTGTAAATTGCACTTTGTAACAATGATTATATTGTCTTTGATACTGAATGGGTTGGAAATACTTATTTCAAAAACAGAACGATACTGCAACGTATGTAGCCTCAAAATGATTTAGCTTTACACGATATTTACATCCAAGAGGTACGATGATGGATCAAATCAACTTTAATGTTTCCAGAAAATTAATGCAGCTTTATGAACTATTGATCATAGTTCAATTGGAAAGAGTAGTCAATTCTAATCTCTCAGAGCGAGTAGAGAGTGAAGCGAAAATTATGAACGAGACACAGCCTTTTTGTTTCTTGCTTGTCAATACCTGAAGATTTAAAAGCACTGCTCGTAGTCTGTAACTCAAACGACTCATTTTCACTTCATAATTTCTTCCAAAAATACTACATACGTCACTATATATCTACATATAACACACATTATGAAGAGCTCAAAACTGAATACAACTATTAATAATATATGTTGTGGAAAGCTCAAAAGACAAATTTCCCTCACCAAATAAATACAAAATGTCAGATCTAGTAGCGGCTTTTGGCCTTAATTCACAGCTGTCCTTTCCACTCATTCATGAAGACTCGTAACTTTTCAACAAATTTTCCTTCTTCATTAAGGAAAAATATCGTTGAGATCACAGTGACCCTAAATGTTTCGTCCAGCCCTCAATGGTATTAAATCAGCCGTATTAAATTATTTCAATTTTCCCTGACTTTTCCTCAAAATGTCAATTTTGCCTGACTCAAAACAAAATTCCCTGATTTTTTCCCTGACCTTGAAGAAATTTTTTCCCTGACAATTTCCTGACCTGTGGCAACTATGTCTTAGTCAGGGCACACGACGAAAACACAGATCCAACACCGGATTGCAAAGGTGTATAAATCAAGATGTTTGCGATTTTTGAGAACTAAACTTGTTTACTAAATGCTGTACCAGTCCTCTCACGACCACATCGTCCTTTTCTAAGCCTTCAATTAACATGGGTTCCAGACCCTCCTCGATCTGCTCCATATTCTCCGTGATTGTGGCCTCTAAAGCTTCAATATCGTACACACTTTTGGGTCTCGTCTTGCGAGGTTCCTCCGAGTCTGGTTTCACTTTCTCGACTGACCAGCTCAAGCGCCGAAAATCATCCGATCGATGCCGAGAAGAACCCGAACGTCTCCGCCGACGCCTCACGAGCTTGTAACTTTCGATAGGAGTACTAGTAAATGAAACTTTAGTAACTTTTTCGATTTTTATCTTTGGGGTGTGGTCGGTGGTGTCTTGTTTGTCAATCGCTATCGTATCCGGCCCCACTTTGTCGTGCTGTTTATTTCTTGTACGCATGCGTATGTCTTCTACCGTCTGTTTGTCGGAGACGAGCTGAGAATACTGGCGCGCCATTTTATAAACACTTGGCAAGGTCGATTTCCTCGGTGTGATTACATGTGCAGATGTCTCCGCAGACGACTCGTTGTCACTGGTTGTTAACTGTTTGTTCTTGTCGCTGTTGCTGTCAGCGAAAAGTTCAAAGACGCGTTTCTTGGTTTGCCTGTTTTTAGGTGAGTGAGCAGGTTCTATGGGTTGGTATTCCTGCGGTTTTGAATCAGCTGACGTAATAGATCGTGATAACTCACTCTCCTCTTCACTCTTTGCTGCTTGATTAACTTCAACGATTGGTTTTGTGGTAAAGTCAGTAACCTTTCTTTCCAGTTTGGAATAAACTTTTGTATTTGAGTTTGTCTCATGTTGGAAGCGATTCTGGTTTTGGTCGGTCGTAGGATTAAAGTTAAACCCATCTGAGCTCTCTCCCCTATTTTCATCAGAAAAGTCAATAATTCGAGGGACCCTTCTGTACCGAAGGCTGTCCGTGGGCTCATCGTCTTTGGCTGGCGGTCTGCCATCATTCTTTACGAGCAGAGCAGACTCTAAAAGCTGTGCACAAGAAATCGTGCGACGTGTCTCATCCAGGTCTCGGTCGATGGAAGCAAGCAGCTCGTCCAAATTGTGGTGAGAGGAGTCTGAGCTCGAGATGGAAGTGTCTTTCTCGGGGGAGTTTCGCGACTCCACGATGTAGCGCGTCTGCGCAGTACGCATCTGAGCCTCGCTTTGAGGGCCTTTGTCACTGGGAGATGAAGAACCGCTGAACGCTCTGCTGACTCTTCTTACCGTTGTTTGTATGGCTGAATACTCCATGAAACTTGTTATGTCGCTATGACTAAACACGGCTGGCGAATCCTCGTCGATGTCTCGCAAGTCTAAAGCAGATGACGACTTTTCGACACTTCGCCTTGCTTCCAACAACCGCGAACTGTTTGACGATCGCCCTATTTGGATGGGACTGTCGTCAGAACGTGCGCGCGAAAAGCTCCCAATCTCACTGGCCGCCTCATCGTCAAACACTTGATTTAATTTTCCGCTCACACTTTTGCTGCGTGACGTTTCAAAATCATCGCACCTGGAGAGACTCCCGGAGCGTTGCCTCGTCACGCTTTGTGTACTACTCCATTTCCCTGTGTCAGTTATTTGAGACGTTAGCTCTTCGTTCTTTCCGACGTCATTTTGATTAACCACAAAGCGGTCTCTTTCAGCAGTAGCTGTCCCCAACACCTCACCTTGAGCATCTTGTACTGAATATTTTGTACTTTGCTCTCGAATTTGGTTGCAGTTTAGAGACTTTTCCTGTAAAAGATGACAAACAAATTTGTAACAATGTACGGACTTCCACGTAACTCGGGGACAAATATTAGTAGCTGTACTTGTTTATTCAACGGACAACCCGCTTTTCAAGCCAAAACAAAGCTGGACAGTTCAAAGAGTTTCCTCTGTAAGTAAGCTGTACCTAGCTGTGGTTGTAGCTAGGAGACTTTAACGCGAAAGACCATCAGCCCCCGCCCCCCCCCCCCCCGCCCCCTGGCCTCTCCTCGCATCAAAAAAATACTTACAACTTGCAACCTCGTTATTCAAGCCTATTCTCACCTCTGTTTCCTCTTCACTACTTTCGTTAATTGTTGTTGAAATCCTGTGATCTGAGGACGATTCTGAGTCCTGCGGTTTGACCTCAATCAATTCTTCACTTTCTTCAAGACTTTCTTCCCTGTCACTGACAGACAAATGCCAACGGACTGGTTTCTAAATATGAAAAAGTAAACAGTAAGAGCCGGTGACAACTGCCGTGCATGTGCTGATCACGTGAATCCTCGAACACGATGATTTTGGCAAAGTCTGCTAATATTAGAGTGAAACCTATTAAACTGAGAGTGATAACAATCTTTGTGGAATACTTTGTTGTAATGAATAAGAGGTGAGATGTAAACTCGACGGAATCATCTCCATTAGTTCGCATACCCCTCACAAATGGATTGAAGAAAACACTATCGACTTGGATATTACCAAAAGAATGTATACGAACAAGATACCACCTGTACAGCAAAAGATTGGATTTATCAGTTTGTTACCCTTTTATCCCTCAGACTAGTTATTCTTGCGAATTACGAATTTCATCTCCAAAAGGAGGTTCAAACATAAGATCGTTCAGTATGTTTTACGCTTACAGATTGCCAGATTGCGGAGAAAGGAACGAAATGAACTTGACGCGCTGAAATACCCTTAGTACCTTAGTACCTTACTACCTTAGTACCTACATGAAGGCTTGGAAAAGACTTTAAAATGGTTGTTTTAACTACATTCTAATCACACGATAAAATGTACTTCAAAAGGCCAGTATACCCCGAAACAATCTATAAATTAATGACCTTGTCATCGTCGGAAGAGTACACATCCGTTGGTGACCTGGGTCCACCCTCGTCATCCGATTTCCTACACGTTTCCTTCAAAATACAAATAGGAACATTTTTCAGTACAAGAAATTGACCTTTTCACGGATACGGCGGCCATTTTGAATTCCATTATTTCAAGTTAGCTATTATGGAATGCTCAGGGGGCAAATACAGACTAATCTGCCCCCTGTGCATCCCATAATAGCCATTGGAAATTCAAAATAGCCGCTGTATCGGTAAAAAGGTCTATTTCTCTCTCTTGCGCACGCTCAAATAACGAGAGAGTTGAAGATCATCAATTCTGACATTAATTATTTCAAGGGGGGGGGGTGGGGAGGGGGCGAATGGTGACATCAACAACCATTACTGAGAACCATCGGCCGACTTTGTCTTGATTCTAAACATGACGTTCTGTTCAGATTGTCGAAACGTCAGTAACCAACAGACTGAGTTCTTTTTATGACTACAGTATAGCGAATAACAATGGACTTACTCCTTTCATGCCAGTAAATCCGACAGATGACCCTTTAAAACAAATCAGATAGAATCAAGATTTAGTTTTGTATAACGAGGGATGTAAGGAACTTCAGGTATGTATTAAATTTTTTTGCCCAATCAAGAAATAGCGTGACCGAGAACAGCAGGATGTAACACTCGAAAAAGTTGCCAAGGAATATGATACCTCCTGATATAGGTTAAGGATGCATCGTGTTGCATGGCAACCACTGGCTAATTTCTTAATGATATTTAGAAAGGAAAACAGTGAAACTAAAACTCGCTAAAATTGTCACGGAAACACAAGTAGCACACAAAAGAGTCGAAGTAAGTCATTCTTCCTGAATCTCTTTTCCACATTTCGAGCTGTTACAATCCCATACAAATTCTTATTTTTACGTTGTGTTACGCAACTGATGGGCATAAATTAAAATGTTCACGGCTCCCAAGGAGCTTGGGAGACCGTTCCGTAATTAGAACGGTCACGCAATTCTTCTTCCATGCGTAACAAGCCGTCACGGAAAGTTTTTCGCACTAATAGAAGCGTTACGTGGCGACCCAAATAACGGCTGCAAATAAGACATGGAGTATATTACATGGCCGCATGGAGATACGGAATTTCTCTTCGAGTATTGAAAAATATCGAAGTGTGCGTAGCGACTGATATCTTGTTTTCGCACGAGAGCTCATCTGGTATTTCATTGGTGTTTGTATAATTATAAGGCTACTTCAAGTTGGTGTGATGTCTTGCGATTTTACCGACTAAATTAAATGTAGATGTACTCAGCATAATGAGGATCAAAGAGAGCGGGACAGCAAGTGCTACTAGAAGAGAACATGTGACCATAACATCTCTCCACGAAATTGTGACATAATTATTACAGGTAGGTCAATTGGGAAAATTACAGGTTGTGTTAAAACTGTTATGAATTAGCCACAAAACTTAACACTTAACTCAATTATCTTTGTAAAAAGACCATTTTAATAGAAGAAGTTAATTTAAAATATGACAATTTTTAAAAGAACTAGTTTAGAAATAATATGGTTTAAGTTTAATAGCTAATACCTTTTATATTATAGGTATAGTTGCGAGGTAAACTGCTGAAGCCAGACAGAGTCTCCAAGTTTACAAGATAGTTATTTAAGTTGATTTCACTCCATTGAGTTCCTTGGAAAGGATCGCTAACTCCGCGATTAACACCTTCTAAAGGTGATATGTTTTGTTGTTTAGCAAGAGTCTTGTAAAGCCAGTGGCAAGCGTTCCTATTGGCTAATTCATGCGATATTCGATCCAGTCTCTTGAGTTCAAAGGAGTTATTGTTTACACTTTGGGTGAGTATTTGATAGGTGTTGCTGAAAGATGTCCGCAGGCGTCTAACTTCTACATAATCAGCAGTTACAGTAAGAAGAGCACGAGAATTGTTCGCTTCTGAGAAAGTAAGATAATAAAGACAAAAATAAAACAAACATTTAATTATTAGAAAAATTATTTGACATTAAAACTAAAAATATTCAACAGAAACAAAATGTTTAAACTTAAAAATACAAAAAAGAAACAAGTGTTTCAATATTATTTAGCACTAAACAGGTTAATGACGTCACCAAGACAAAAATAACAGTTATGGCAGTTTAAAACTGAATGTCCTTCTCTTTCGAGGCTATTTCATTCACTGAAACTGAATATTCAAGAACTTGATATTTTCTGTTAAACTAAGAGATTGGACACCACTACATCACACCCCATAATTATCAAACAGAACCTTTAGAGTGACGGCGTTAAACGTCAATCAAACTCATCACCGAGCCAATCAGGGTTCACGAAGATTCACGAAACCTTTCTAATGTGACGTGATCTTAAGTACTACTCGGGTACAAGAGAATACTGTTAAGAAAAAATACTTGGGATGTATCTTAGCTTTGCCAAGCTTTGTGAAGTAAGCGCCCGAACTTGAAGCAAAACGTGTAACCGGTTATAAGCGCGGGAAAAGGGCAATAAACCAATAAGAAATCAAAAGAGAAACGACTAACCAGTGCGAGGCGAGGGAAATGTCACGTGCATGAGCCAAATGATTCTTAATTGTTTTGGTTGTGCACTTGACTGACCAAAAGAGACATGTTTGGGCTGAACTGTGAACTCATTTACTGACAGAGAGCCACTTGGACAAATATATAACACAAAAGAACAGTTACCTTTCAGTTGTGTTCCTCTGCCGAGTTTGCTGTCAATGGAAGATGATCTTTTCTTGCCTTCAAAGTCTGAAGTTTCTGTGATAATAAATACATGAAATTAATCAGTGTCGAGTTCTATACCCAGGGCATTACGGGTTCGAATCCCAAATGAAAGAATTCTGTTGATCTACTATTGTAATACATATATTAACATCCCATAACATGCCTGTCACTGAACTACATAATCTAGGTAATCAACAATATAACAAAATGTTCGCATCTATCTGCTAGTTATTAGCAGGCCTTGTTGAAGCACTAATAATATATAGAGAAAACTGGTTCCGACGATCACTAGAGGACTTCCCAGATTCCAGAATTCTGACGATTTCCAAACATGACCAGAGGGACCAGAGGTCTACCGAGGATGCCACGAAACTTTACAACCGACGACTTCTGAAGACTTTAAATGCCATCAAAGGTGCAACATATATATCCGATTGCCTTTGAAACATTATGAAATAGCGCGCGCGCTAGTCCTGCCTAATTCCTATTGAGCCATCATAAACGAAGTCTCTATGTACGCACGGCCGTGCGTAAATGAGATGACGTGTACAGTTTCAACTGATTTGGCTGCAAAATTTCCGTCGAGTTTAGTGCAAGTTCCTTTTGTTTAAGTTTCGGCAATGTGAAGATTATTCTGAACAATACAAACTCTCCTTGTATTTTTGACTTTGTCTGCCTACATTTTCATTATAATTAATTCGAAGAAGCAAATTTTTTATTGACAATTTTAGAAACCAGGTTAAACGTTTTCGCTCAACCGTTGCTCAACTGATTGTGGCGTGTTAGGATCCTAATGACCTTTGTTTTCTTCGCCGTGAATTGAGAGAACTTTGTAGTCAATCACAAATGAAACATGTTTTAGCGCCCAAGTTGTTGTCGCCATGATATAAAAGAATTGGTTCATGCTTTTAGCTGTGCGTATATCGAGTTATGGATGCACTCAAGAAGTTAGAGTTGCTCTCAGCTGTCGCCTCGAGCAACTCTTACGCTTCTTTCGTGCTCGCCAAACCAGGGCGCTTATACGTAGGGCGGCCTTTTCCCGCCCTGCTCCAAACTTCCCACGTGCATCCATAACTCGATATACGCACGCTAAGCATGAACCAACTCTTAAATATACGAACGGTCGTGCGTATATAACGTGAGCTGTACATTTCCAATTTCGCTACAAAATTTCCGTCGAGTTTAGTGCAAGTTCCTTTTGTTTAATGACGACTATTCTGAGCAATCCGCAACCTACTTCGAGCCTTTGACTTTTGCCACGCTGAGATGTTTACTTAAACTTGAGTATTTTGACTTTGTTTGTCCACATTTTCATTGAGTATTTTTGACTTTGTTTGCCTACATTTTCATTAGAGTTAATTCGAAGAGGCGAATTTTTCATTGACAATTTTAGAAACCAGGGTAAGGGTTTTCGTTCAACTGTTGCTCAACCGATTGTGGCGTGTTAGGATCCTAATGACCTTTGTTTTCCTTCACCGTGCATTGTGAGAACTTTGTAGTCAATCACAAATAAAACATGTTTTAGCGGGCAATATGTTGTCACATTTTATAAAAGAATTGGTTCATGCTTTTAGCTGTGTGTATATCGAGTTATGGATGGACTTAGGAAGTTCGGAGAGCACTCAAGACTTACACGCTTCTTTCGTGCTCTCCAAACTTCCCGCGTGCATCCATAACTCGATATACGCACGCTAAGCATGAACCAATTCTTTATTTTGACGAAGATCATCCGAAATCTATCACACATCTCGCCCCTTTTGTTATAACCTAGACTTGCTTGAAGCCATTAGCGGCTGTAATATTTGTAATATTTAGCTTACCTGAGCTTCCTATATCCCCAAGGATATTTTTTCTTGCCTGAATAGCAAACGGTTTCGCGGTTAGTTTCTTGAAACTATTATAGAATTCAATCATGATACACGTTTATCTGAAAACTCCTTAGCTTGTGGGGTAGGGTAAGACCGCAAAACTAAGAGGGACGAGGACAGGGGGTAGAGGGAAAGGCTTCCCTTCACGTGTTTCCTCTCTCTTTGCCTTTTTTATTTTATGTGGCTTTCATACAATTTCTGAATTCACTTGGGGCAGTAGTTTTGTTTTCTGAGATGATCAGACGTCTTAGACGGCATGTTGTCTTGAAAACTTAACCAAGAGTCTCTTGTTCGTGACCTGTTCCAAACTTCCCTAATCTTATCCACCTTTGTTTGCCTTTAATTTTTTTTTTAACTTTCCTTGGTATACCATATAATTATTTTGCGGTTTTCCTGTTTTCTTTTCTTAGATTTAAGAACCATTATTCCCTAACACAGCCAACATGTGATTCATGTCTTATCACTGACTGACCTTGGTGGAGACTGGAGCTGCGAGGCTGTCAACAATCAGTCTTTTTAGTTCTAGTATCCACTTGCGTTTCTGATCTGCGTGCCTTGCCTGTTAAGATTGAACAACTGAAGTTAATCCAACATCAGAATTGCCCCTTATCAGGAAAAAATACCAGTATTATTATGTAAACATTGTAGGCTTGACTGACAAATCAACCTGTTTTTCGCCTTAAGTACACCACAAAATAATTTCCACGGACTAATGAACTGCAAGCGACCAATAAACCATGTTCAACTCACCAAGAACGTATAGGTGATCTTCTGGTTATCAAATCGTATTATCTGGAAAGCTAGCGGTTCTTTGGTTACTGATTCTAGCATCATCATGTTTGACAACTAAAATAAAATAAAAAAACTTTACTTAACCTGAAAGGCCAATCAGTGGTCACTGGATCACTGGTATTAACTGGCGATCAGCAGTTACATATAAAATACAGCTATTCATATTCAACTAGTGGACACAAACAACAAAACATAATCATCAACTTGCTAATTAATTTAAGGTACTTTGCCATAAAATGGACAGACAAGAACACAATTAGCCCAATTTCAGTTTACCAGGAGGTTGATTTCATTCTGAAATAGGATGTTATTCCAGGTTTAATTAATTTGGATCTACAATGGGCGACAGAGGTGTTAAGACACTGATTGAAAAATTTTATTTTCCAGCGATGGACAATGTCGATTTTTCCGTCTCTGAGAATCAGATTGAGCAGATTACAGCAACTGTACACCTATGGGTAGCCGGGAGTATCAGAGAATCATCGCCAGACGCATTTGAAATAGAATAACAGGTTAAACAGCGTATAGTGTCATTTTCTAAAAGTACCTCAACTACCATTGTCCTCTATTGTGGTAAAGTCATTACTGAAATAAGCTGGTCTAATGGTTGCCGCAGTGGATCTCAAATCTGAAGTCATGTTGAAGTGCGGGCAGAGGCGCTGAGATGTATTCTTTGGTAAGACACGGTCACTCTGCAGTGCCTCCCTCCAGCTACTAAGGCAACAATGTTTGAGATAACACTCGATATCAGGCAACAGAGCCCGGAGTTCAATGCTAGCCAGATGAGCAAGGACAAAAAAGACTTAGTTGCCTCTCAGAGCAATCTTACCTTTGAAGTTTTCAATACATAATAATAATGTTCAGTAAAGAATGAGCATTACTCACCATGAGTGTAGCTTTACAAGAGTAGCCACTTTCTTTTCGTTTTGTGATGAGGAGGATTTGCTCAAAGAGAAACAGGTGTCTATCTGCTCTAGTTCCATGCATTCGGAAGATGTCCTGGGCACAAAACAAGGCATAGACAAGTTTTTAAACCACAGTTAGCATTTGTGAGTTTTCAATTACATGGTCATCAGCAAAATGCAAGTGCACTTGTGGCTGGAAGCTGCTAACAGGCCACTCACTTCACCGAACTTTCTGTTTCATCACAAAACAAACGAAAATCAGGAGAGCGTGGGCAATTCCCCACAAAAAGCAGGCTGTAGCTGCATTTCTTACTTTCAAATAATTTTAATACACCTCCAAAGTCAAATACGTTTTCTGATCGGAGGAGAACATGTCACGTGCCGTGGGTCAAAGCTCACTAACTCCCTAGGGAAACAACTTGAACTCTCCACTCACACGTGATCAGGTCGTGCTCCTTGGAACTGCAGCAAAATTGTGTGCCAGCCGGCGTCAAGCAAACGATTTTTTCGCAGTTTCTCTTTCTATTTTTGAGTTGGGAGGTATAACAAAACACTTAATGACTGACCCCACGGGAAACAGTGAGTTTTGTTTCCTCTCGACATTGAGGGCGTCAGGGAAACAAAACTCACTGTTGCCCTTGGGGCCAGTCATTAAGTGCTTAATGCAGTATGATACATGTAGATACTTACAGCCTCGCACTCCTAACAAAAATTAATGAGTTAGTGGTTTAAATGAGATAGCAAAGGTCAAGTGAGCAAGCAGCTGTAACAGGCTGACTATAAGGTCAGTAAAATATATTTTACTATTACATAATTTCTACTTGCTAGAAAGTCTGGCATGTGTTTAAGAGAAATTACCTCTAAGACAAGACTGCCATAAGTTGTAAGATCTGGGCCCTAAATAGACAATCAACAGGCTAAGTTAACAGCTTGTCACATTAACAGGATGGCCACATTAAAATGGTTCTTAAAAAAGGAAATGGCTCTGCTTCAGCTATTCTTCTGGCCAAAAGCAAATATCATAACGAGAATAAGGATGTACCCACATTAACGAGGGGGACAAAACTTGACAGGACTCCCACATGAAAAGGATGGGAAAGCTTGTTGGAAAATTTGCATTAAACTCCTAAAGGAGACTGATCTGGGTGTGGCTCAAGCTTTATTTGGCCCCTAAAAGATACCACTTAAAACAAAATGGGCTTGATTACCAGCCACTGTTCAAGAAAAAAGCCCATGCCTTAGAGTGCTTTTTAATTTTAATTATTATTTCTTCATGTGCCCCCTAAAAGAGACTTTGGAAGCTAAGAATAGTGGTGTTTCAACATGAATACACTAGGTGAGACCAGAATCCTTGATTTATACCCCTAAGCGAGATGATGAGCATCCCCAGCCTTTTCATATGAGAGTCCCCTTGAGGGGCCAAAAGGCACAGAGATGAGATGACAAGATGTACCGTAAATTGTAAAAGGACTTCACTGCATGAGCTCACAGTCTGTAGCTTAAGATAATTATTTAAGTATTGACTAGTTTTTTTTTTCTTGCCTCAAAATCAGACATCTGACTTTGAATCTCCTGTGAACAGAACAATACACCAAAAATGAACTACTTAAAGAAGTGAGCAAAATGTGATAACATCTTGTTAAGTCTAAAATAGCAGTATACACACGTGAAGTTAGGTTGAAAGATTCCATTAACCAAAGGAAATCAGCATGTGTTAAACACTCAGAATTCTTGAATTATTCAAATCCCTCAAAAATCCCATTCTAATAAAATAGCTTCATAGGGATCTAAACAGTGATCTATCTGAAATGTCTGCATACATTTAGCAATCAATAGAATCTGGTTTACAACTAACAATACAGTACATGTAGTTTGCCAGTTTGTCACCTCTCTTACAAAGAAAGATCTTACGGTTTCAGATTACATACTAATAACAAGCACAGACAGGACAAAGTTTGATCTCTACCTGCACATGTACGGCAACTTCATGCTGCCGTTTCATTTCATTGATGTGGTGAGCCACTCCAGTCATGGCAAACAAGGCATCCTAATACACACAGGTATACCAATTACACAGGAATTATAAATCAGTATGTAACTAAAAAGACGTTGTGTTTTGAATCTTTTATCTTTGCAGTTCCAGGTCTCTTTTGAAAACCATATTTGTGGCAAAATCACAGCTAAGGAAATGTTTCAGCTGCCATTTGAATAAATTAACTTCAAAATTAATATGAAAGTTGTGTTACTACAAGGCTGCAATATCAACTGCTATATCATCTTTAGGTTTTGATGCACACCATGGTGTGAGTGAAGTTAACATCACTTTTGCAAGAGAAACATATTTCTGCTGGCAATGTAACAGTTATGAGACAATATTGATTCAATCCCTCAAATGTTACCCTGATACTTACAGATATTATATCATAACCTTCAGGATCACTTTCTTTGTCAAAATGCTTTTGTATATCCTGGCAAGAAAAATTGTAAAACCTTTAAATACCACTGCACATATACAGTGACAATATGTACAGTACACATTTCTCTGAGGGTCACAATTTCCGTAGTGTCAAGAGTATTAAGTCTTATTGATAGGAGAGTCTTTATTACAGGTAGTGTTTATTTACCTGCAGTAGTAAGTGATATTTCAGGATTCTTTGCACAGGTTTCAACAAATATGACCCAAGGGGAAGGGAATGACCAAGTTCAATTTGAATGTTCTGAAGAAAAAATATAAACAAATAGTGAAATAAGGTCAAGTAGATAAGTAAATTATATGCATGAATGAAGGAGAGAAAAAAGGATGGAAGGTCAAGGAAAAAAGCAAAGGTGAAGGAGAATGAATGAAGGAATTAAAAAAGCAATGACTGAATGAACAAATGATTGAATGAATGAACAAATGAATGGATAAATGAACAAATAAATGATGATGGATGCATGCATGCATGCATGAATGAATGAATAAATGAATATATAAATGAGTGAAAGAATGAATGAATGAATGAATGAATGAATGAATGAATGAATGAATGAATGAATGAATGAATGAATGAAAAATGAACAACCAGGCAAAGATATTTACAAAGTGAACAAATGAATGCACAAATAACCACATAAAAAAGCAAACAACTGTACAAAATAAACAAGTGGATGAAAAAACAAATCAAACAAATAAATTAAAAACTAATGAACAAGTGAAAAAAATGCATGAAAACGTAAATAGATGAAATGACACTGATTGCATTAGTTATCTCTTGATCTTGGCTAGATCTGCCAAAGCACTAGTAATACCTTTATAAATTCTGCTGTCTCTTTTTTCTGTGTAGACTTTGTTAGTACCTCGACAGACCTATCAAGTAACAACAAGTGTCATAATCAAATCAATGAACCTGTTATTACAGAGATTTTAAAAGTATATGATCCCAGCTTTAGAATATCATAACCATTCAATATAAGTTGGTTGAAATAATACTCTCCTTAAAGATAGGATACAGGTGCACCTCCATAGAACAGACACCTAGCCAGTTCAATAGGTCCCCAAGAAAACAAAATTTATATAATCTCTCCCCTTATAGTACAAACATCTCCATAATACAGACAGTAAGCTCTGCTCCAAGAGGTTTGATTGTACCACACTTCAGTGACTCTCAGCTACACTTCAATACCAAATATTTGAGAGCTCTTAATATTGAGAGCATGATGGTCTGAAAGGGTGAAACCTAGAGTGGACAAGCACTCCTCTAGTGTGAGGAGGTGTAGAAGGGGTAGTCCTTGTCCTCTCTACTTTCCACAGAGAGCTGTGGCAGGATATACATAGAGCAAGTGTAAAAGACACCTGCTTGACTACTAGTAATGATATCTCCCTAACCTCTCATTCTGTGAAATGAGGCAAATAATAGGTGCAGAGGCAATGACTGAATGAAGTTTTCATTTACAACTAATTAAAATGTCACTGTCTATAATTATTAAAACTTACTCACTCACTATACCCATCCACATAAGCTGAGGGTAAATGAAAATTGAATTCTTAGCTTATTAAATATTTTGTTCCACCTTGCTTTCTGTAACTACCTACTGTCGGGGTTTTCAATATGGACCAGATGTGAGGACAATTTTGCCTGCCTGATTTGACCATCTAGACGAATGTTATTCTTATAAAGAAGTTCAGTTCAAAAGGTTTTGCCTGCCTATGAAAACCAGTTGCCCTTGTGTTGAAAAAGTTAATGAGACCAGTGCACTGTATATATCCTTTAAAAATATGTGACTATAAGGTCAACAGGGTTTTTGTGGTTTTGGTATCTCTTTAACATCTAAAAATGTATTCAAACCAAGAAAAGATTAATTCTGGTGCTTTTTTGCCATGAAATCAAGCTTTAAATTTCCCGCTTCGATCACGCCCAATGAAGTTGACTGTGTAATGAAAGATTGGTGACGAATGACATCACTTCAGGGACATCTCAAAGCCTCATGTTTTTATTTTGCTTGATTGACGACCGCATTGTTTCACCAACTCCGGTTTGTTTACTTTTTGTCGGCGAAAACTCCTAACCACAACTGAAACAACAATGACCTGAACTAGCAGGATTTGGCAATTCCTGACTTGACGTCACAACCCATTCAGAAACCCAGACTCTTTTTTTGCACTGACTCACAGTCAACTTCACTGGGCATGGCTGAAGCGGGAACTTTAAAGTTAGATCTTTGGGCGTTAAAATGTCAGAATCCAATTTTTTTTCATAGAATACCTTTTTACACATTATAGAGATACCAAAACCACAAAACCTCTCTGTCTACCCATCCACCCGTCTGTCTGTCTATCTTTCTGTCTGTCCACCTGTTCATCTCTCTGGTCATCCTAGGCCACTGATCATTCCTCTGTCCATCTGTGCAAGTATCCCTGTCTGTCTACCTGCCAGCCTGTCTGATTACATTCAGTCTGTCCCTGACTGACTATCCCTGGCTATTAGCATATAATTTCTGCTAGTTAGACTTACACTGGGTAATTTGTACAGTAGTCTGTGTATGTTACAAAGCCCTTCTCCTGAAAAACAACAAAGCATAATGAAAAGGGAGAGACTTAAAACCTAAAGGAATAAACTTGACTAAAATAATTATTATCAAAGAAATATAAGAACCCTGTTTATCTTAATACACCTTTTGCTGTTCATTTACAGAAAATATCCATTCATTTGTGTCCAAATTTGTTTCATTATGGTTAATATACTCTCATTAACACCAATATGACCTTCATTTGCAGGTAAGGAACATTCAAGAATAACACTTGCATATGCATTAACATTCAAAATCATCAAAAGATAAACAATATCTTCCTTTTACATTCATTGTCTGTAAATGTATTTTCATTTTTGTTGAAACAAAATTCGATCGTTGTCACGAAACGACAATCATGTACACTTTTGAACAATCCTTATTCAACAAAAGACTTTCAATAGTACAATTTGCATGAGCACTCACAATCAATTGCATTATTATACAACCATATCCATGAAGGTGACAATCTTAAGTGCGGCGAGACAAACATTACAGCCATAATAACATTTATTTTTGGAAGAGAGAATATCAATTTTGCTGAACAATTTATCCCTCAATTGCATCACTATTGAGGCATCGTGGCAAATGCATGAAACGATACCATTGCCCACATTTAGGCCCTGATTATTCTTTCGCTGTGTTCAAATGGGATTCAATTTCTTCGTGGCATTTGTGGGGAAATCTAACCGTCACTTTATCACATGTATACTGTAGTGCGCCNTGTATAATAATGCAATTGATTGTGAGTGCTCATGCAAATTCTGTTATTGAAAGTTTTTTGTTGAAAAAGGATTGTCCAAAAGTGTACATGATTGTTGTTTCATGACAACGAATTTTATTTCGACAAAAATGAAAATACATTTACAGCCAATGAATGTCAAAGGAACGTATTGTTTATCTTTTGATGATTTTGAATGTTAATACATATGCAAATGTTATTTTTGAACGTTCCTTACATGCAAATGAAGGTCATATTGGTGTTAATGTGAGTATATTAACCATGATGAAACAAACTTGGATACAAATGAATGGATATTTTCTGTAAATGAACAGCAAAAGGTGTTATCACAGGGGATCACACATTGTTGCTCTCAGTGTAGCACTCAGGAGAGTTATGTAAACAACCTTCCTCTTAATACATGACTGAATATCCAATGCCATCATCATGTGGGTTTTTGAAAGAAATTTTTTGTATTAAAAAACTTGAACTACTACAATTTGAGTTGGGACTAAATGTATATGTAGAAAATGTCAAAAAATGGATTATTTCATTTTTACCACTAATGGTATTCCAGTGCAAATACATGCAATGAAGTTAAGTCTTACTAATATAGCAAATCCAGAAAGGTACATGTACAAAGTAAATCTGAAAGGCAGAGTTAAGTAGACCAATTTCAATATATTAAAATTCAGCCTAAAACAATAGACCTCAGTACGAGGTTCAGGGGAATAACTACACAGTTTGTGGGGTTTATTCCCTGGAGCCTCGTGCTGAGGTCTATTGTTTTAGGCTGAATTTTAACATATCAAAATTGAAGGGTTTCGTGCAGAAAGGGCGTATGGGACATTTTGGGCAGTTCCCTTATGGCTGCTTCGTTAGTGCAAGTGAATAAGGTGCTGAACTGGCTGGATGCGAGTTTGTTTTGTCGTGACACCGGTTCGATATGAGGTTGGTCAATTTTTTTTTTCCAGTCTATTTCTCTACTTCTTTCAAAAATCAAAACATCTATTTAAAAAAAACCGTGCTGTCGAGGCTGCTAAAGGTAACCGTTTAAGTTTGCGCTGCATCAAAATCCACCTTGGAAGGATTCGCTCTAAAAGATGCCGCTTGGAAAACTGAGATTTTTTGCATACGCTATTTCTCGAAAACGAAGTGCAAATCAACAGAAACAATTATGCAACGATGCTTTTCATGTCAAAACAACTCAGTCTGCCAAAAATTAGCTCGATCCTGCAAAAAATAAAAATCGGCCCAAAATGTCACATATGCCCTTTTTGCACGAAACCCTTCAATTGTGCTATTGTTTTGTCTAAAAAATTGCTGTCAAATGGTTACCTTAGAGACAAATTGTTTTGCCACTTCTACAGGATCATCACCACACGTTTCCAGATCAGCTAGAAATGTTCTTCAAAAGCAATAAACCAGAGTAATTCTTACTGTTGAGCACTGTTCAAAAGCTACATAGCTACAGATAATGCAACTCTGGATCATGAGTGGGAATAGGTTACAGCTGTTTTTAATTGAGTGTCACTAAACCAAAACCAAACCAGATTTACTTACCATTTTGTCAACTCAGCCAATCTAAAGCCATAGTAAAACAAAAACTAAAACTGATTAAAAGTAATTGCCTGCAGATTACTTTCGACACTCAATTGGAAACTGCTCTAGAAAAATCTTATAGAAGATTTTAACATCTCTTCAGAGTAAGGCAATATTTAGTTCAACGTAACCAAAACTGGGGAACTGATCTGAGAAGGCCAGATGGACAGACATCAAGACATGTGGCATGACTGTTGCAAACTCAAATACCTTGGCATACTGTCCGAATGGCTGAATTGTTGTGTCCTATCATCAGAGAACATTGTGCATGTTTGAAACATTTCACTCACTTGTTAAAGTCATAGATTTCCTCTATATTCATAAATAGATCTTTGACATCCTGCTCATAGAATGGAGAATTTTCTTTCTTCATTTTAGCTAAATAACCCTGCAAATAGCAAATGAATATATTGCTTAGAATAAAATATTTAAAAACTAATATTAGATATTATACATTCTCTGGAATTTCACAAGCATTAGACAGTAAATTATGAATGTTGTGGCACCGAGCCACCCAGGACTGTATTAAGTCCACTTTCAATGACAAGGTTCAAGATCTAAAAAATCAAGATGTCCACAAGCCATAAATTAACCAGCACATCATAAAAAAGTGTTTTCACATACTTCTCAAACCAACATTAAAAGAAAACTATTTTAATAATTTTAGAATTTACATTACTAACAGTAAATTGTTTGAACCCAGGAGTATCAATTGTTCATGTAGTGCGATCATCAGAAATTATCATAAGTGCCAAAAACTAATTTACTAAAGGCAGTTTTTCACTTGAATATACATTGTATTATGCATATGCAAAAGTAACATTTTACACAGTTGCTTGTTGATAAAAAATGTCCACACTAAAGGTTACTGCATCTGCATATATATTGCTGATGCTGATGCTTATGCTTATCATTACCCTTTAGCAATAGTGATCAACAGCCAGCCTTAAACAGCAGGAGGCTGTAATAGACTATACACTGTGCATGTATTACACGGCCACGAAGAGATACAAAATTTCTCTTTGAGTGTCAACACAAAAGAGAAATTTCATATCACTAAGTAGCCATGTTGTGTTCTGTTTATTATATTATTTTATAACACCAATGAAATGCCAAACCATTCTCACTTTTGCTGTGAAAGGTGCGATTTATTATGTAACTATGACAATGGTGATCTTTTCACGAGTGAAGATAACATTTTACTTTCAAGTGTGATTAAATATCATGTTTTCACATGAAAGCTCACCTGGTATTTTATTAGACAAGTGTTTACAAAAATTTACATTATAAATAAAAAGATGTCCTCCTGAACAAATATAGTAGCTGACTGAATTAGTTTAACTGACCATTGTGGTTGACTTGGGCTCAAAGTTGACTAAACCTAGTATTAAACTCTTTTGATTCATGTTTGTCTGCAAATTCAAATACTTATGGTAGTACCTCAATAATCTCCTGTAAATGTTCAACATAAGCCTGCTCAGTAGATAAAATTTCCTGTACAACCCTCTCTGTATGGCTGGAGCTTGAGGCGGTGGAAACACGATTCATATTTACATCAAGACAACGAATGGATGATAATAAAGGTACAGACTCCTCAGAGATCGTTGAGGGTGATCTGTCTCCTGAATGAGTGGATGATGGCCGTAGCAATGCCTTTTCATCTGTTTCAAATGCCTTCTTCAGTGAAGAGACCATGTTATCTTGATCAGATTCATTTTCAGATTGTGAATCTTTGTAGATAATTTCAACCCTTGGTTGAGGTGTTGATTGTTTTTTCTTGTCATTTCCTTGTGTTTGAAGGTCGATAGACTGATTCCTTTCAAGGGTGGGTCGGCGAAAGAACCTCTTGGATGTTTTTTTTGGTGATAAGATTGAGTTAGATTTGGGAGATGTGTGGCCATTACTAATTCGCTGAGGAGAGGCTGCTCTCTTGGAACGAGAACTAAATGACTCCATAGTTCCACCCCCAGCTGGCTGATGGTAATTTGTAATTGGAGACATTGCTGAAGATAAAAATAAAATGCAAAGGAGAGCTTAGTTGTTACAGTACTTGGATGATTCATTTAAACAAAATGTTATAAATAATTGAGAGTACTTAAAGGGTGACCATCGCTGAGAAAACATTCTAGTTTTAAGTTTGGTTTACCATAATATAAAATAGTATTTTTATAAAATATATCAGTCCATAAGGTAAGGAAGCTCAGGGAAGCCAATAAGGCTTATGTAAAGAACTACCTTTAAAGATAGCCAAAACTAAACAATAAATTAAAACTATGGTATCGGCAGGGAAATTTATCTTGTAAATATATAGATAGTTACATTATATCTTTACAATATAATTGAGAGGTACATTGTACTGCATGAAATATAGTCAATAGCTGTAGTAGTTAGTAGTAAAAGCCATGTTTTTCATACATACATTGTGTATAGATGTAAGGGGATCGATCGATTCTTGCATTTGAGATCATGAATGGATATAGATTAAATAGAATGTTTAATATGAAAGTTATAGCAGGTACATTTGTAAACAGTCCTTGCTACTACAAGTTCATAATCAAACACAAACAAGCTACATGTAAGGTAGTCCTAAGTGTCATAGTCTAGATGGAAACCTGCTCAGTACATTATTCATGATCAAGTGTGACAACAGATCAGCATATTTAAGAAGTTAGAAGCTCTATGAGGTGGCAAAGCCATATACTTTGATTAATAAAATGCAGCACACAAAAACACACTGAAATGAAGAAACTTAATATATGATTGAATGCTTTTTAAAGCCACATAGAAATACAAGTTCCTTAAGTTACTTTTGTCAACTTGGACCTGGACTAATGTTCGCTTGTTTTGAGTTAAGTTCAGTTTGATCCAGTAAGAGGTTGCATCAGTCACCCAATGCAAGTCATCAAAATTAATTTTAGTCTTCTCACCATTTCAGTTTGATGTGATGCATATTGAGTGATGTGACTGACTAGTATCGCTTCACTGTATGGTCCAAATGCGTCAAGTAATTAGCTCATATTTTAAACTTACTGCCTACTTTAGACAAAACAAAACTTACTGCCTATTTTAAACATGCATACCAAGCCAGGGAAACTTACATTGTATCACTGGGGGTATGCCAATTACAAAAACTTACCAACTGCAGAAGCCTGATTTACAGAACTTGTAACTTGAACAGACATTTTGAGTCAACCATTGTTCTGTGAGCTAAAACCATTAAGCAAATAATTATGTCATTACAAAGGGTACAGGCATTCAGTTACCCTAATAAAAAGTAATTAACAAAGAATGTGGAGATTACAAACTGTCTTTAACAATGTACAGTCTAATGCTGCTGTCAAAATTTTAGGAAGTGGAAATTGGGGTTAAAGAAAAGGGATTTCCTTTCATGTGGCTCGCAGCCAAAATGACTTAACCTTTCAAATGAGCCAATGGTTTTGATGGTGATAATTGCTTGGTCATTGATACTTCACAGTGTTTAGTCAGACACGGTCACATTCTAACCACATGTTGATTTTTTTGAACCTGCTCTTGAAAGATCTTTACGTGTTAATACACACAATAAATTACATAATAAATTTATGCAACTTACAGAATGTGTAAAGTGTAACAGTAAATCATAAGCATCATAATGTTGCTAAACATACTACAAAATGTAACAGCTTTCTCGCAGACTAATTGAGAGGATTCCTGTTTTAACTCAAGAAACAACCAAAGATTAACTTATAATAGATAAGAGGATAACCAATCACTGGCTTTACATCTTACTCTATTACTAAGATTAATATTTTTAACATTCATGTATGACATTTTCACAATGCAAAATGTTTTGATCCACTGTACTGTACAGTGTATGCATAGACCACTGCATCAGCATGGAAGGAAAATGCCATCTGAAAATAATCACAGATTATTTCCAGATTTAAATGAATAAATGAATATTGTGTTTTAGGCATTGCACTTTATACCTTTCAGGAGGTTTGTTTAAAATTTAGCCTTTTAGACCAGGTGTTTGTTTGAACCCAGTGTTTATTCAGGGCTCAACATTTCCTAAAAAAAAAAAAATGGTGCTTCAGTTCAACACTTAACATTCCCAAGAGATTCTAAAATCCAATTTCTCCTAATAACTTAATTTGCTCAAAACATTGTCATTAGAGACTGGAAATGAGAATAATAAAATTAACAGAAGGACATCCCTTTCTGTGCTGTACCACTACATGTTGATAATTATTAATAATTATTGATATAAATGATCTAATCATCTAATTGTGGATGGTTTAAAAGTAGAAAAAAAACAACTACAGAAAAATCTAAAGAGGCCCATACTTCAGTATACCAATTCTTAGGAAAATAACATAGTTCTGTCTTGACACGTCAACCTTGACAAACAAAATTTCAGAGTGGTATGGGCTTCATCAGACAACAAAACAACCACCATCCCTGATATCATATTTGTGGCCAATCAAACAAGCTGCAGGAAACCATAACAAAAGTGAAACCAGCCTGATAAAAATCTGTGTGGTTTAACAAAGTTAAACAGCTCTTCCTGACATCTGGTCTCATGTGGGTTCACAACATCTTGTTTAGGTTCATGTACATATTTCCTGAGTAAAATCTCAATCAAATATTGACTGACAAGAATATGGAGAACATAGAAAATCCAGGTCTTGAGGAAATGAAATGTTATGATGGAAAAAAGAAAACTGCTGTAGGACCCCAGCAAGGTTAGTAAAGGGAACAGATTCCACTAACTTTGGCTTTAATATTCTTGGTGTAAGTCAGCCTTTAAAATAATAATAAAGTGAATCCCTACTGTTTACGATTCCATCTAGGGCAAGTCAATGTTAGCTTGATTGTCACAACTTATAATACAGGCCATTGAGTTCGAATGTGATGTTACATGCAAGGTAACAAATGTTGATATTGGCGCGCGGGAGCTAAAATAATAATCAATGAGTTTCCCCAGACATAAAGCATGCCTCATCTGTTGTATAAACAAGCACCTAAATATTACATTTCTATGAGGTAAACTGCACTGCACAGTATAAACACAACATTACATAGGTAAATAACTTCACATTTACCATACTGTGAGCACTGGAGCAAGATCAAAGAACCATTTGTTTCCTTTCATAATTCAGCTAAGGTCATCACAAAACAAAGCGAGACAGGATAAGGTCAGAGTTTTCTGACAGCCCATCACTGACATACACAGATAACATTCACATCAAATTTACGCAACAAAGTACTTTCAGGTCCTGCTCATGTCTATTTCCATGCCTTTTTGAACTGAGTGTACACAATAGGTTGGTTATGACTAAACTTCAGTTTCCATATCAGTGAAGCCTTCTCGTGTTGACAAAATGCGGCACAGATATTACTGTGTTTAATTCTCCCTTTCTCGCTTCAATAATCTCACGTAACAGCTTGAAAAAAAGTTATGGATTTAATATCGAATTTCGTTACAGCTTAGGTTTTGAACAGCGTTTATGTTTACGTAGCATTTTTCGCAGTTACTAACACGAAAGCGACTTCTGGTTAAATCAGAATTTGTCAGAGATCTTTGTTATTTGCATGTTCTTTCCAATAAATATAAACGATTTGTAACTTCCCGCGAGATCTATTTGCTATCGAGGTCGTGACAATTGTCAATTTCACATCACGAAACGTCGCAAAATCTAAGCCATTAAAAAGCGTAAATCATGCAAAGATTATACGAATTTGAGCGTTTAAAACACTTCCTTTGCTATTAACAAAATATTACTTATACGGATAAATGTATCAATACAGGAAAACATTTTACATTATAAAATTAGATCATTGAATTTTTACCTATCGCATGCTGGGAAACATTTTCCAACTTTTTTTATTCCCGACGAAAAATGTTCGCTGCCTTTGAAAGTGGCGACGGGAAAAACCACACATTCACACTAACAATGCTTTTACAGACACAACGGCTATGCAGGAAAAACTAGGCGGCTGTTTATTATTCTTGTTATTTCCTGAATAAGAGGAATGGTACAAGAAAAGTACACAGTGAAATCGAGCGATAAGTTTCCGCAGTGAGAATTCAGAGGGAAAATTGACCAAAATAATAAGACGTACATCAACTCTTACATTGCAGTGTAAACGTGGTACTTCTAGCTACTTGAATACATGCTTGCCAAATATTACCAATTCAAACAAATGCAAATATACTTATTAAAAGATCGTTGTTTAACTACAATCATTCCATCGAGGCGAATTGTTTTGTAGGGTTTGCGGCGGTCTGTTTGAGGTAACTCGCTACCAACACCGAGAAACAGAAAATTTCTGCGTGACATCCTTGTTTATTTAAACTTCTATGCTCTAAGATCAATTCGAGGACATCAGAATTACCCTCCTCACAAACAAGATCGTGGTTTACTTTTCGATGGAACTTTTGTCGTGAACATTCTAGCGCATCAAGAAAACCGGACGCGCGCTCGCGCTGGCTTGTCTAAGCGCACATTTTCAACCATGTCGACAACCGCACAAAATAGTCGCTTCAGAGCAACTCGATTATGTAAAAGAGACATGTCAGAACTTAGAATGCAAATGACACAAAGCTCTGTTTATCTCGAAGACAAGAATAAAGTTCAAAGTCAGCCATAGGAGAAAACAAAAATACACTTGTGACCACCCGTAGCTAACGTTATAACATTACCTGCTTCTGGTTTGATTTTCACGAAGTCACTAAGCCACACATGCAACATGATATTACGACTAACCTTCTATCCCACGATGGAAAGAATAAAAGCTGAGCGCTTTCCTCGGTCAAAATTCCTTCAACAGTCCGTGAAACCCTGGAATAACTCCACACTCTGATTCGAAAAATTCGAGTTCCACTGATCATTCAAGGGAAGATACCACAATAATCAAATCATTTCGAACTGAGACCAGCCCAGGGAATGATCTTGGTTGATGTAAGAAATTTGTAGTCCAATAGACCGGTCACGTTTGATGGAAATCAATTTGTATTCTTGATCCGAAATGTTAATAGGTTCCTGTCAAAGCTCGAGTGGGTTGAATTAATTTTCGCCCGGACACTGGCCGAATAGCATGCTGGGGAAGGCGACTTCGCTATCACCAAAAACTGGGGAACTTGAACGGAGTTTTTGACGACTTTTCCTCTACTGGTGGAAGACAAACTAATCCGAAATCACTTGTGTAAAATTAGCGGAAGTAATAAGAAATATTCGCTAAGTCAATGACGTTTGATTTCAACTATTTCCTTCGGAGATGAGAGCCAGATATTGCTTTAATTCCATCTTATCTTTGAGGTGACATGCCGACTCGCGTGTGTCACGCCGTAATGTAAATCAGTTCCAGTTTTCTTCATCAGTCTTTCTATTGTTTTTTAAGCCATGATTTTTAAACAGACGATTGAAATATAAATTGAACTTTTCATTTTGTAGTTTGGTAGGTGGAATACATTTTTTATGGTTATAGGTGATTAAGATTAGAATAACAATGCCGCAAAGTTTGACAAGAATTCACTATATGATGATGGGTGACACAAGCTAAGCAACAAAACCTGTAACCGGGGTAGCGAAAACTAAAAACGATTTTCAATATGAAACTCACAGCTTACTTTTTTGAATGGTAGCCGTTAGTAGCGGTTCGTGTGCTATAAACGTCTTTGCTCACAAATGTTACTTTTTTAATTTTAATTAAAAATTTATCCAGTTTAAAAAAGTTGCCCCTTGTTAAAAAGATCAGTGGAACACAGGTGAACCTGGCAAAACCGGCAACCTGGGGCCACGGTTTACCAGTGACCGAGTGACTCGATCATTCTACTGCCGAGATGCGCAGTCCTGGCAGGTGGTAAGTACCAGGGCAGAGGCTCGAGCATTTAAAAAAATGTTTGTCTCTATTATTTTAAAGCTATTATATTTATGATTGCACTCAAGAGAACAGCAATAGCATTGACTCCATATTAGTTTTCTTTAAACACTCAAAAAAAAGTTGGAATTAACAAACATAGCAAAATATATACTTCGATAAAGCTGATTTTTAGGGATGTTGTGTTGATCCTTTGTTCGCGAGTAAATCAAAGCATCAAGTATATGAACGGTTAACGTTTCGAGAATCAACTAACCTGTTTCTCTTAGTGATTTAAATTGTTTTTCAACTCATTCAGACGGTGAGTGTAAGACAGGAAATGGCGACCCTTAGTACTGGAGCAAATCGTTACGAAACGCTTCCTTGCATTATAAATAAGATGCGGCCTTCAGTTAACGTTTAAAACAGTCCATTTCCATCAGTCATGTGAAGTTGCCGTTATAGACAAACTGAGCTAAACTGCATAAGACCTACGACCTCCGCATTCAGCTGCTTGCCTGGCTGTCCAATATTTGATCATACCGGCCTTGATAAATGTGCAATAAAAATTATATTTAATTCATTATCGTGACCGTGCCTTGGCATGCGTGTCAGATGAAGAAGGTTTCGAAACTCTGCCTCTTGTATGACGTAACAAGGTCAACAGGCCAAGATCTCAATGCTCTCTGTGGAAAGCAAGTACATCGTATCGGTTAACGTCAATAATCTTTCTATTGCGGTTTTCTCAAAACAGACCCCCACCCCCACCCCCCAAAAAAAAAGCCAAAACACATACTCGTGAGAGAATTAAAATGAAGCATTTTACTTGTTCATGTTGCGATCTTCTCTGCTTTGAGGATAATTACTTACCTTTCTAGAGCACTTGAAGAAGATCACTTTATCCGATGAGTCTCTCTTTATAAAACCTACGCCCACTCGAGTCCACGGCTCTCCTTTGTAGCTGAGTGCTTAGCTGACAATGGCTAACAAGAAAGTCAAAGCCGGTCAGTTAAAACAACATTGAAACACGTCACTGAATTGAGTCATTTATTGCTCAATAACCAGAACAAACACTAACGCTGTAATCTGCTTTTATAGACCGTGCATATATAGAGCTGTGTCTCGAAGGGTTAAACCGTATTAAAACATTTTTTTGTTGTTGATCGGAACTCAACAGAGTCTGTCTAGGTTATCTGAGTAAAATCCGGATTATCTTATAATACTTTACACCGGATCACCGATTTGAGATCGGATTTTTTTCGAAAGGTAAATGATCCCTGTTTCCTCATATCAGTTTACACGTGACTCACTAGTCATGTTCCAGTATTCCATGTTTCAAGGGCGGGATTTTCAGTTGGCAAGATAGGCTTTGATAAAATTATCCTTGTGGTATTTATTTTCGCTTGAACTTTAGGCAAAGCACGTGGCCTGGGCTTATTTATCTTGGGAATCAACTGTTACTGTGCATATTAAGCTTTTTACGCAGCAGTTTGGCGTAAATGTGCGATTATTTGTTTTTTCCCCTTTGCTGACAAAAGGAGAACGCTTTCTGCCATTATTGCGGTGGATAAACTGTTCGTCTCACGCTGTTTTCCTGTACATTTGCAGATTGGATTAGTCTGCCGTTTCAATTCAGTAGGTCTCTAAAATCTCCCATACATGTCTCGCGGTGGTTTTGCCAAGTTTCTTAAAGTTTTGGATTACCAATTTTTCCAGTTAGGACCGGCTAGCTATTTCAGGCGAAATGGCTGCAGGTGAATTATTAAAATTATTTCCAGTTCTTAATACTTCGTGGTTTACCGAAATTGTCAGTCCAGAAGAACATCTTGACCCCCTGAAAAAGACGACTTGTTGGTGAATTGCTCCAGTTGGTACTACAGGGTTAATCAGTCCTTCGTTTATAACTGACAAACTTTGTCGGAAACAACTCTTCGCTCTAATCTGGGTCTTTTCAAAGCAATATTAATGTTTGTCACGATCTGCTTGCCTGAACTCTTAGCGAGTACATGTGCCAACTTATTCCTCCTAATGAGAGAAGTGGAATCAAGCCTATATTGATTATCTGAAACAACATTGCGAGTGACAGTGTTGGTGGCCGGAATAACCGTAACACTGATTTTCTGGGAACAAGGAAAACCTCTTGTAACAGGTATACATGTGCAATAAACATTCTTTCAGTTTGAAATATGAAATAAATCTGTTATGACCTCGAGCTCCCACTAAGGACAAAATAAAGTAATTTCTTAAAGGACTTTTATATTGGAACTAGTGCAGAGAAATCATTTCCCCGTAGGGATCGTAAAACTTGATACAGTAACCTCGCGTTCTAAACTTCTAATGGCTTCCTGTCAATTGTTGACTATAATGTTCGACTGCAAAATGACCTCGTGATTAATGGGTTCTTAAAAGTATCCTGATTAAGTCTCCCTGAATAGAACTGCTGTCTTCGTGGTGGTCACGTTTTACATAATTATATAATATTAGTAATAAGAAATTGTAATTCAATTTATATTGCCAATTTTTTTAAATACAAAACAAAATGCGCATTACAGAAAATTTTGATTGTTATTACTCAGCTTAAAAAACAGAGTTTCTGATCAATTTTATTTTTTTAAATAGCATTTTACTGATCCAGTTCGCATTCTCTCATGTAATTATGAGTGAAGGTGAAACAAAAAAAATTAACAAATTCACACCAAATTTACTTGTAAACGTCGACCTATTATTGTTTCAAAAATAGTTACTCTCAGGGTAAATCACGGCAGTTTATTGAATCGAGAAGATCGCTCTTTGACGAGTGCCAGTCATTTCACGATTTAAGTCAGATGAAACATGCAAATTCAGAGCTAAAAAAGGCCTTTGGTTTTCTATATCGCCCTTATAATAATACAAAAATAATTCCTACGATCTTAAGATAATTTTCCGCACGCTCGGGAAAAAGTATTTTTGTTGCTAATAGAGCTCTATGCTGATGCGCCCAACAGAGAAGTCAGCGGCTTGAGCTGCAGCTGTGGTGTGTGACTGCTGACCGGAGTCATTGTTCCAGCTGGTGCAGACAAAGTTGTCTAATTGTTGGGGAGGGGTGGATGCTGTACATTACTGTATAAAAGCCATGATCTCGAGTCTCTCAGGGAGTCCGCTCGACAAGCAAAGTGTTCCAAAAATAAAACTCAAATTTTAAATGAAATTCAGATAAATCGTTGTTCAGAACTTATTTGTTTCATTTTACTTTCCTTTCAGGAGCACATGAAGCTATGTTTATTCTGGGCCAATTCAGTCAAGCTCAGTGCGCCCCACAGAAAGTGGCTCATCGTAGGAAAGCAATGAGCGGAAACGTTGGTTCTTTGATCAAATATTTCAGATACGTTTTTCAATAGTTCATGTCTGGCACCGTGCCTAAGAAGCTAAATAAAAATATGTAATTTTCGACTTAGCGTGTTTAAGGGTAATCCGTTATGTGTTTAATATCGAGCTAGAATAAAAGCTGGCAAAATATCATAATTGATATCATTGTATTGTTCAGGCGGATTTTCAAGAGTCTTCATCGTTTTAGTGTCTTTTGACACACCCCAGTTTGAAAGCTGTGATGAAACTAAAACACAAGGCACCGTTTCGTGCATTTTACCCCGCCATTTTATATTTCGCAGTATATTTCGTGATATTTCTGCTTCAAGGGACAAGAGGTATTACTGAATGGTCCAAAACAAACACTTTTCCAGGCAGATTTGTCAGTACATGTTACCTGTCATGTGACAGTCTGTCAACTTTTTTAAAATTTAATATTTATCAGAATCAAGTAAGCTGGATGAAAAGTTAAGCTGTTCGATTTAAAAAACATTTTGTCGATAAACAACTACTCCGCGCTTTCAGTTTATTAGTTTTCTCTCTATTGAGATTTTCTTTATTGACATAGTTATTGACATCACACTCTTCACTTGAAAATTAGCGGAAGTGACGTCACGGCTTCCCTCCCTTTTACTTTCCGTCAGATTGTATCACTAGTAGTGGTCATAACATGCCACTTAAAGAAAACTGTCTTTTCTGTCACNCCCCCAAAAAAAAAGCCAAAACACATACTCGTGAGAGAATTAAAATGAAGCATTTTACTTGTTCATGTTGCGATCTTCTCTGCTTTGAGGATAATTACTTACCTTTCTAGAGCACTTGAAGAAGATCACTTTATCCGATGAGTCTCTCTTTATAAAACCTACGCCCACTCGAGTCCACGGCTCTCCTTTGTAGCTGAGTGCTTAGCTGACAATGGCTAACAAGAAAGTCAAAGCCGGTCAGTTAAAACAACATTGAAACACGTCACTGAATTGAGTCATTTATTGCTCAATAACCAGAACAAACACTAACGCTGTAATCTGCTTTTATAGACCGTGCATATATAGAGCTGTGTCTCGAAGGGTTAAACCGTATTAAAACATTTTTTTGTTGTTGATCGGAACTCAACAGAGT